CCACCTTTATCTATATAAATTCATTGATCAAATAAATAAATGCCTATCAAATAGAGATGGTAAAATATAGTTCTGTAAAAATTGAAGAGATTAGATTAGAAAAATTGATGGTAAACTTATGAAATCTTGGGAAATTTTAAGTTTTGAAATTAATCTATATCAAAATCTGGTCTTACTGAGATATTTCATAGAATAAATGTATTTCTGAAGCCCTAATAAAATTAGTTCACATGACTAAAATCTCAGACTCCTATGATGGAAAATAAATTCTAGAATCAAGATATATTTGGCTAGTAAAACAACAGGCATTCATCCTTTTAAGAAAAATGCTCTTCCTCCTCTGGGCCCTGCCATTCCCTTCTTCTGCCCTTGGAAACCTAACACCCAAGTCATTTTATTTATTATTTAATAGACTATTTTCCAGAGAAGTTTTAGATTCACAGGAAAATTGAGAGAAAGGTACAGAAATGTTCCATCTACTAATTCCTGCCTGGCCTCACGCATTCATAGACTACCCCATTATCAACATCCCCCACCAGGGTGTTAATCACTAATTAACCTACATAGACACATCATTATCACCCAAAGTGCACAGTTTATGGTAGAGTTCACTCTTCATGGTATGCATTACATGGATTTGAACAAATATATATTGACAGGTATCCACCATTGTAGTATCCTACAAAAGAGTTTCGCTGCCCTAAACAAATCCCCTGTACTCACCTATTCATCCCTCCCCCTGCAACTCTTGACAACCGCTATCTTTTCACTGTCTCCAGAGTTTTCTTTTTCAAAAATGTCATATAGTTGGAATTATACAGTATGTAGCCTTTTTAGATTGGTGTCTTTCACTTAGTAATATGCATTGAAGTTTCCTCTGTGTCTTTTCCTGGCTTGATAGCTCATTTTTCTTTTAGCACTGAATAACCATCCACTGTCTGGATGTATCACAATTTATCCATTCACCTACTGAAGAACATCTTGGTTACTTCCAAATTTTGGCAATTATAAATAAAGCTGCTATGAACAGCTGTGTGCAGTTTTTTTTGTGTTCATAAGTTTTCAACTCCTTTGAGTAAATTCCAAGGAGCATGATTACTGGAATGTATGTTAAGAGTATGTTTAGTTTTGTAAGAAACTGCTAAACTGTCTTTCAAAGTGACTGTAGGATTTTGCATTCTCAGCCGCAATGAATGAAAGTTTATCATTTTATTTTTAAGTGTGGCCTTCTTTGATTCCTTTTGCAAGATATTTTTCTTCCTTTCCTCAAACTCATTTAGCACTCTGTCTTCGCATTCTGGCGTCTATCATAGTCTTTGCTAAGCAAGTGCAAATCCCTCAGGGGAGGGTAGAGATAGGTCTCTTGCATTTTACAATACTTCATTTTTGCCTTGAAATTTTTTGAATGAATTAAGAAAGTTCAATTTCTGGTGTGTTGGACTGTCAATGATCAAATGTGTATCATTGCCTAACAGTATTCTGTTTTGTAAAACTATGTATATCACAACGCCTTATGCTAAGGTTGGAATCAAACAATTCTCACTATTTCCACTATAATTTTTTTCAATTATTTCTTGGCAGTTATTTTGTGTGTTAAATACATGATTGATTTATGTGAAAAGGAAATGCATTTGAAGTTATTGACTCTTTGCCCCAGCTTTTCAGCTGGAAAAAAACAAACCTCTTTCTGCAATAAGTGTTGAGCCTCTTAAAAATAAAATCTAATGAGGTTAGTATATATCCTTGACATTTTATTTTCTACCAGAGTGAAGGTCACAGCTGAAAGGTCACAAAGATGAATTTGTGCAGCAAATAAACAATGCTATTATTTTGCAAAGAAAATGCAATATTGCTGTCTATAGTCTATTGCATCTAAAGGGTATTTGTGATTCCTCATTTTGGCACTCAGACTCTGTTGTTCTTTCATTTTTTAAATTTTGAATGTAAGAATGGGAGTACACCTAGCTTAACTTTCAGGCACTAATATAAAATGTGTGATTTTCATTAATATTCTAGCATTTTATTATTTGAACTTTACATTTAAGTCTTAAGTCTACTTGGTTGGTAATTATTTGGTGGAACTTGGTATTTATTCCATTAATATTTATTTGGTGAAATTCCTTCTGAGTTGGGAAGTTTTATGATATATGTTTAGGTCCCTCAACTCTACCATCTTTGGTTTTTATCACTAAAGAGAATATGTGAAAGATGAGTTTGGAAAGTAAGGGGCTGGATTCTGTTTAAATGGTGGAAAATATGCCTTTTTAGACAAATGCACAATAGAAATTCTTAACTGCTTTCATACTATATATCACTACATAACATGAGATTGATCTATTAAATTTATACCAGATCAACACAATTTTAATATTTAAAAAATTAATTTGTTGAAAAGAATCATTAAACAAGCTTCAAATTCCTAAAGCCATGTCAAAATGGTCAGTTTATATTGTTACCTAGTTAATATATTTCTTGAAGCAAAGCATTCCAAATTTTATAATTTGTTCATTTTAAAAACTAACATGAGATAGATATCTAATCTGGAATTTCTTTTATTTTAGATGAACTCACAAATTCATCAGAAACCAGATTGTCTTTAGAAGACCTGTTTAGGAAAGAATTTGTGCTTCATGATCCAGAAGCTCGATGGATCAATGGTATGTATGTGTCTACATTTTTATATGCTGTATTTATTTTGAGTTCTGCATAATTAAAAATAGTGATATTTGTCATTAATATTATAATTGATGTTATGTTTTGAAGATTACATATATTATTCAATCAGAAATTTAAACCTTGGCTCTTGTGAGAGAAAACCAATTCCTAAGACAGCATATCAATAAAATTGTCCTCCAAACATTAGTTGACTGTTCTGTATCTCTTGTTCTCTCATGATCATCAGCTGTATGACTTTAAAGACCTATTAACATCTCTAGCATTTCCCTAGATAATTCTTCTTTATGTAGCAGTATACATTTTGGGAGCTTGTACACACACAAACACACACACACACACATATACACATATACACACATATACATATATACACATACATACACACATAAACACATACATATATACACATACACACATACATATATACATACACACATATGCATATATACATATACACACACATACACATATACACATACATGTATACACACACATATACACACATACACACTCGTGTATATATAAGTGCTTCAAATTTGACAATATGATTCATTTTCTTTTCTCTCTTTGTGGCTTCCATTTAGCTTAAGTGTTACAAACTAGGCAGACTCTTTGCAAAGTCGAAATGACTTGGAAATAATATGGAAATATATTACACTTTGTCTATTTTTCTGGCCTGGCAAAGAAACAACCTCAGCTTTCTTTTAGTCAATATCTGGGATTAAAATAATAAAATAAAATATAACCACTTAACAGCTCTATGGACTTTGGCTTGTCTTTATCCAATCCTAGGTAGTATCCAATCCTAGGTAGTAAGGGCATTATAGGGTGAGCTGGTCATAAGAAATTGTTGGTGAAAAAGATGCCACCTTGTCATTCTTTGAATATTCTACTTTGCCCAATCATACTAATCTTCATGGTTGGATACCTGTTAGTCTTTACCCTTCACTTTATTTAGACATAATATCTTTGCTTATTTTCAAGGCATAGAGTAAATTATTTGTGTGATAGATAAAAAGAACTTTGCCTTTTTATCTAATAAAAATCATCTCATTTACAGTCCATTTCTTCTTCTCTAATATTCTAATTAAGTGTATGTATGCCTGCAAATTAAACTTTAATTTATAGAAGCTATAAAAAGAATGTAATTTAACCCATGAAGGGCAAGGGCCAAATCACACTTGTTTATTTGGCGCTGATATAGCTTCTGGAGATCAGCAGATACTCAAGATTCATTTTTTGAAAAAAAATGGATAAATGTTTTTAATTACAGTCCAGTGTCATTTTTGCATAAACTCAAGTTTTAGTTGAAATCTATTGGAAGATGAGCGTGTGTCCCTATGCAGGTAGTACACACAGAGAACACAACATAGCATTTTTCTTGATCTATTTGTAAGTTTATGTTTTGGATTGTTTATAAATTTGGGACTAGCTTTATTTTTGGCTTTGTAGTATAATTACTTCACATGTACAGTACGATGAGCACTATGACTAAAGAAGACTAATAAAAAAAAGGTATATTATTGCCAAACATTGTCCTCATACACAAATGTCTCGCAAATCATTCTTCTAAAGTGTGACTGTAATTATGCAAATCACCTATTTACTTGCTAGCAAATATTTTCTATTGAGGAAAAGGGAAGCTGTCAGAATATTTTTTGAAAACTTATAGTATTGTGAGTCATTAGATTTGAAATGCTGAATAATCTTCTGTTTTACTCACTATGATTTTGGACAAATTATAGAAATTTGTATAGTCTTGGACTTTGGAAAGCAAGAAAAAATTGCAGGCCTCATCTCCCTTCTCAGGTTAGCTTGGGCTATTTAGAGGCATTTACTCCTGTGTATAACTGACACTTTGATATTGTAGCTCCAAAGGACAGGACAGATATTTAAGCAGTGAATAGCATACTACATTAAATCCCATTTCAATATCTAGGGCACAGATTCTACTCGTACACTTCACATGACACCAAAATAATATTTTTGGAGTTAATCATTTTTAAAGTAATGTCTTTACCAGTCATTGGTAAACTTGGTCTTCAGAAGGCATTCTAGGCCAAAGCTGCAGTGTTATTATAACATTCTAAGTAGTACCTAATATATATAATATTTATAAAAGCATTTAACATAAAAACAACCCTTTAAACTCGAGTAAGCAGAATGTAAGCTCTGAGAGCATGCAGTCCTAAAATTAATAAATACCACTGGGGAAAAAGTTGGCTCATTGTCAGTAGTTTGTGTGCATTCAGTCGCTTTTCAAGCAGGAGAATGGATTTTTGCTTTTATCCTACCCAGACCTCTTTTCTGGTAATCACTAGATATTTGACCTACTTCCATATTCGTCACATAGCCAGGAAATGCAGTGGGAGCTATATATATGAATAGGATGGGTAACCTTGGCCTCATTATCAACAATTATATCTAAATGTAAAATGTGAGCTTTTTCTTTATTCTCAAGAGATGTCTCAAGAGGTTTTCTTAGTGTATAATTCACTTGAAGGAGTCCAAGCTAAGCTTATTTAGAAGCTTCATTTAATTCTTAGAGGTCATCACAGAAACTCTTAATGCTTTACTGATCAAGGGAAAGGAGGAAGTCTAGGCGGCCCTGCACGTGTTGGTGGTAGTAAAGCGATGTCATTCATTATGCTGGTTCTCAAATAATATATCTGAGGATGTCAATGCAACCTTGGATGGATGCTCATGTTCATGGTTAGCTTAACAACTGCCTTACCCCAAATCTGGTCATATCCTTGAAATCTACATTTTTATAGCATCTTCTTCCTAGCTATGTCACCTTGAAACCTGGAAATCCATCTTCTTTAAAATTATTCATCTATTCATACATTTGATGATCAATTAATCACCAAAGAAAGATCTAATATTGAATACCTTCTGTGTTAAGCTCAGTGAGATGCTTTATATGCATATTTCATATGATAGAATATGACATTTCAGTTAACCCCAGAAAACTGAGGCTTAACCAAGAAATTTATCTGAAAACACACCTTACAGGGAGCAGAGGCTGCTTGAATCCTTATGTCTAAGTATAAAACTTACCCTCTTTCATTGTTTCAGTCTAACATGCCATTGTCATGTGTAGCACATTTATTAATTACCTCCCTGACAATCTTATTTTTATAGATCCCATTATTATTGTAGGGTGGAAAGACACTTCTATAATGAAAGGCTAACAAGAGAAATATATAATAAATTTGTTTACTCAAAGTTTTGAGTGCTATGGGAGCCTGCAAAAGTTAAGATACAAAGGTCCAGGGGAAACTGTTTTTATGCTTAGGTTCAATGAAGTATGGACAGCCGTATCGAAATGTGATTGGACAAAAGGGTGTGATCTAATGGCAACAGACTGAGTGGGGACATCCAGAAAGGCCTGTCTGTTCAGATTCTTCTTGGCCTCTCTAAGTAGCACTCTTTCCTCCCAGATGTAGGGAAACGCTCCCCTGGAAAGAGGGTCTTATGATCTACTACCAGACAAAATAGGTCAAAGAATTCCTTTATGGCCAGCTCCTACATAGAAAGGCAAGGGAAGGTTAAAGTAATATTTCTGGGGTTTATGGCTTGCTTTGGAGAAAGGTTCTAGTTTCTATGACATGCCTTAAGGAAAAAGAATTTTGATTTCTATGACTTGTTTTGGGGCAGACAGAGGGGTAGGAGAGTAAAGGGTGGGAGAAGATCAGAGAGATTTTGCTTCTGAGATTGCTGCTGAGAACATCCAAGCTCCTTTAGTTAGTTCAGAGTACTCAGCATGTCAGAGTGCCATGCTTTGGGGTATCATTTCTGAGCCGCAACACTACTAATGCTGTTATGTTGAGTACTACCATAATATCTTTGTGTCCCCAGGTACAATTGTATAAGGGTAACTTATGCAGTCACTAAAAATAAAGTGCATAAGCATATTTATTGACATGTTTGTAATCTAAAAAAGTGAACAAAAGTAACTCCAAAACAATGTTGATAGTATGTGATATCACATTGTTTTTATTATGTAGCAGTGATTGTCTTCAGATTACCTTCTTCTTCTTAGCTTTTCTGATTTTTCTCAATTTTTCCAATAAATATGTATATGTGATTTTTTATAACTAATAAGGAAGAAAAATTGCTCTTTCCCTTTTTAGTCTCCTGGGTGTCCAATCCCTCCAGCAGATTCGGCTCAAATACAACCTTCTAAGGCCTAGTTAAAAACTGCTAATGTACTTACTTCTCAAAAACCATCTGAGGAACCCTTTTAGCAATTGAATAAGCACCAAGCTCTTCCCTTAGCATTTCAAGCCTCTCAGAGCCAAGCCTCAGCCAGAGTTCTGCTGTTCTACTCCATATTATGTTGCAGTCCCATTAACTACTTGATATTCTCCTGAGTCTTAAAAGTGTTCATCTATGCCTTTGTCCACATTTTCTTCTCTACCTGGAATCCCTTCCCCAATCTGAAAACTCAAATTTTATCCTGCCGGAAACCGAATGCCCAGGTGCAATGACAATAACGATTCTTTTTCCTGCCAGCTCTGGGAACATCACCTTCTCATATACTCTAGCGTTTGACTCTCCTGTATAGAAATTTCTATCTTGATTATAATTACAACATATCTAATCTCCTCTAAAACAATGCTTTTAAAACTATTGTGAAAGGCTACTATTTTTAAGTTGTAATTAATTTGTTTTTATTTCCAATTTGGCAGGAATAGTTTTTAAAAATACAATAAAAATAAATTTCTAGAAAATTAAAATGATACATAGATATTCCAAATACAATACTAAGTTTTCTCTTATTATATTTAAAAGACCTAAAATAACATTTAAAAAATATATAAGTGCAAACATAATGTTAGAAGAAAAGAATGTCAAGTATTACTTGAGAGTATAAACAGGCAATTAATAGAAATGATTGTCATTACACTCATAACTTTTTGTTATTCCTAAATCAGAATTAAACAAAAATTGAGAGAAATAGTGAGCAGTCACATTA